TATAGTATTAACATTTCTGACAGCCAGCTTGATGAGAAGATTCAATTCTATTTTTATTCGAGGAACAAAAGTACGAGTACAGTTGGTCCAATTTAAGTGTTGATGTTTGATGAAAAATAAAATATACACAAAGCAGTTGCAAATTTTTTGCAAGTGGTATTTACCTCACATAATAAAAGACAAACTTCCATAATATATATTTTCATTTTAATGTTTATTCGCCTAAATCTAAGATACTATTAGACATATCTCGTTACTGCCAGATCTGTATTGTTTCTGTAGCGCTTATATTGTAAACCAAAAAATGCAATAAATTTTTTACGAAGTTATTCAAACTAAATATGTATAGTCATTTTTTAAATAGTGCAAAGCAGTTAATAAAGAAGTTTGTGGGTTTAGTAAGGTTATTATTTTACAGTCAACCAAAAAAATCTGATTTTCTAAAGTCCCAGGAGTTAGAAATAAAGAAAATACTTTGAAGAAATATTTTTAACCGAGGCTTAGGCAATATATAAAATAAAAACTCGTAATAGTGTACCATATGTTTATTATTCTCCTCAATACTTTGTATAATTTAAGATGAAAAGAATTATCTTTTAAAAATATTTACCACTTTAAAATTTTTACCTTTACTTACAATCTGAATATTGTATTTTATGCTATATTGCCTTTGTATCTAACTGTCAGCTCTGAAACAATGACTACTAATCGGAACGCTGTCAGTTTGTATGAACCATGTATGCAAGTAGATCAATAATGTCTAGATGTCAGGTTTGTTAAGGGTATAGCAAAACCGCGCTGTTACAACAACATGACAATGAAATATGTTAAAACCATTGTAACTTACCGATTGTTTCTGTGTTGATAATAATATTAATAAATGTTTAAGGTAAATGAAACTTATGAAACATAAAATATTTATTATTACAAATATATATGAACATTTAATTTTCTTAAAGACGAAAATAATCTATCAAAAAGTATCTCAATCTATCTATACTCCAGTTCATTTGATACTTCGAATCTCTGTAAATTTTTTAGATTAAAAAGGGACTACTACATACCAGATAAGTTAAAATAACTGTATATTTAACATTATATTATGTTTCCGTCGCCAAAATCATCATACCTTAAATAATATAAATATAGTTTTTATTTAATAACTTCAGATTTATAAAAATAATAACATTTCAAATATTATACAATTATTCAAAATTTGGTAAAACAAAAATGTAAAATAAATGTAAAATCAGTGATTATTTAGGCGAGCGGGATTGTCAGCAAAGAGATTTTTAATATTGAAAAAGGTTAGCAGAGTTTTTGTAGGTAATTCATACTTTTTACTGATAAAATGCAATGGTTAACATTCAAAAATATACATTGAATAATAAATGAAACTGAGTGTTTGGGATACCTACAACGCGTTTTTTTTAAATGATTTAATAATATAATTACATAATCCCGATGTTAAGGTTCGTTTACAATAACCTGATCAAGTGAACTAAATGCCTTAGTGTCAATTTTAAAAATCTTAGTTTCATTTAAATGAGTATATGCGAAAATCTTAGATATCATTAAACAAAAACGTTTTTAATAAGTTACATTTGATATATAAATATTTGAGGATGACATTGTTTCTCGAAACAAGTCCCATACAACCGTAATTCCACCGTAAATTTTGTTTAAATTGCTACAAGCAATTATGGTGCACACTTGTTGGTTTACCTTATTCTAATTTAAATGTCGAAATAATATGAGTACTAGGGACCTTAGAGCATTACTTTTAACTAGCGTTCTAAACGAACTACTACTTTGTTGCTATTAGATTGGTTATACTCTAGTTTTTGTAACCAACACATAACTTATGATATTTACAATTTTAAGCGACATGCATAATAATATATAAAATAGAATATACCTCCTGCCATTCCGATATAGGCCAAATAAAGCAATAGAAAAACGGTCAAAGAATATATAGCAAAAGAAAAAGTCATAAATATCAGAATAAAAGCTGCATTTTGAAGTATACCACTATGTTAAGTTTTTCAGTCGGTTAGTTTTATTCAAGAATCATGCGTGAAGCGACTGAAATCGAGAAACATTATAATTTAAATCGGCAATAGGTTCTCATATTCCTCACGATGTCCAGTGATCTCGAACAAAAAACTTACTTTTATGGGCAATCGAGCAACACATTACATTGAGTGCTACGTTTAGTTGTTGCGTAATAAATAAATATACGAAGGTGGATGAAGATTCGTTGGCCTGACCCATCGCTTTTACACTTAGCTTGTGACTATACCCAGCCTGGCAGAAATATCAAGCAATGTAAATATATAAGTTACGACCGTGATAATCCCCGCTTTTCTTAAAATAAAGATAGAATATAAATATTTGTAACTATAGAAGGTGAAATTGTCAAAGTTCGTATTAAACGCAACAGTTGAGTGTTATAAAAAAGCGACGTGAGGTCGTGAAATTTATTTTCTAGTGGTATTTCAAATACAACGTGTTCGACGTACTAACAAGCACTTCTTATGTGTTCATGATATTTTTTGAAAACCACGTCTATATTTTAGTGGTATAAGTTACCAATTCTTCCACAGTCAAATTAATCAGTATAAGCTTTGACTTATGAATAATAATTATAACTCATCATTCAAATATGGGAAAAATAGAGTTATTTTATAAGTAACTATCAGTCATAAAAGAAAAGTAGTGTATAGTTTTTGTTTGATAAGTTCTATAAATTTATTTTTAAGGAAAAAAAAAGACTTCAATAAAAACAAAACATATGTAGGCATTAAAAAGCAAAAAAATAATTTTATACTTAAATACTAGTTCCTATCTTAAACTGTCTGATAATAAATATTAGTATGTATCTGCACAAAAATCTACTAAACACCTAATGTAGTTTAAACGAAAACTATTTTTTTTTTACTTTTCAATAACCTAATTTAATACATAAATAAATAATCACATTTTTCAAATCTTGCTTTTTAGTGTAAGTATAATCTAAAATGGATTTTTCTATATATAAAAATGGATTGCTGTTCCTTAGTCTCGCTTAAACTCGAAAACACGGAGATTTATGGCTTAAAGGGAAACTCCAAAAAAATATTACGAAATAATTTATTTCTTGATTGAGGCAGTACAAAGCCTGACGGGTCATCTAGTAATAAATAGATAAGTAGAATAAAGTAACTGTTTGAAGATTTCGAGCCCTTCCTTATGTTCATCAAACGATGAAAGTCAAGATCATGGGTCTGAAATTGACAAAATAAAAAAATTAAAACCTCCTCCTCCCTTGAAGTCGGTTAATAACAAGGTTACGAAATCTGTCTTCAGACAAATAAAATCATACATAATACATTTTAAGTAATGACATTATTTAATAAGTATTATATATTCCTACAAATTTTTAGGATCTGTCTCAATATTCCCAGGAGTTCATAATCAGGTCTTGTTGTTATCGTCATGGGACCATTTGATCTAACCTTATAAATAAGTAAATCGATATTGCCTAATATTTGAATATAGTCATTCATTTGTTGCATACATACTTAATAAAATATCATTAAATCACTTCAAATAACTTAAATTAATATTTCTAGAGAACTAAGTTTTATTTTGTCATTTAAAATACTAGATACTCCCGACGTTTCGATTACTTTGCAGCAACCGTGATCAAGGGCAGACGAGATGGCAGTAACAATTTTTTATTCAATATGAGGGGAAAAAAAATATAAATCACAATAATAGTATTTTTTCATGATAAAAATAGGAAGCTTTATAGAAAAAAAAGTTTTCAGCACTGGAAACCATCATGGTTCAATTAATGTATCATTATAAAGGGTGCTGAATTAATAATGTCTATTTATCATAAAGATATTTAAGATTTTAAGGATTATACATTTAATATTAACCCACTTTTTCGAAGGTGATCAGGCGATTTAATAATTTATTTTTAAAATTTTCTCGACTTTTTCATTCCTCCGCTATTATTTTGTTAAAGTACATACATCATTTTGTCATTTTATAATATTACTTTATGTTGGTAGTTTTAGTTTTGGATTCCTAAAATTATTAGATATAACTCATAACTAACAACTGTTATATTACTTTAAATATCTCAAATTATTGTATCTTCATAGACTATGATTACAAAGAATTATAAGAAAATTAATGCGGTAAAGAATAGACATAAAGAAAGCTACGGAATATGATCATTTCTAATTTGGCCAATTTTATTTTTATAATTTGCTTTTTTATTTTTTCAGTTCGGTTGATATTATTTTCAAACAGATGAGAAAGAGTACTATGATTAACGATTCACGATTTTTTTATCAATTATTTAAAATTAAGTGATGCTTAAGATATTAAATTGTTAAGGATATAAAGCCATAGTAATTAAATTATTTTAAAGAAATTTAATCTCGACTGAAACTTTTTCAAAAAATATACCTCAATAGGTTTTTTATTTATGTAGCATTTGACATAAAATGTCGCCTTAAAAAAATAAATGCCTCGCGTCAGCTTCGTATTTTTGTGTGATAATTTAATTTCTTTAATTGTTTATTGGGTTTGTTTATGTTTTTTGCAAGATTTTTGAAATCCAGATTAAACTGGATAAACTTTTATATAAGTTAAAAGTTTTAATTACTTAAATAAAGTTGAAATAAGATTTTTTAATATAATCAATTAAATATACGTATGTAAAGACAAAATTGTACAACTTTCCACCCCTAGTTAGAGATATGATCGCGTCGTATTACTCAATATTAAGGTTTTCTATAATAACTAAAGAAGGCCCTTCAAAAAGTTTGAGTTATAATGTAGGACTGTTTCAAGGTTATTGTCTATCTCCAATTACGTTTAATATCGTTATTAACATCTTAGTAGACAAATTAATCTGTAACGAGAAAAAATGGGGTTATCGGTTTAAGTTTAATAATAAATACACGGAATCCATTTTAGCCTTCGCTGACGATCTCGCAATACTGACACGTCACCCCAAACACTGTCAAGTACTATTGGATGAAGTGGATAAATTCTGTGAGTGGACGGATGGATTGAGGACAAAACCAAGTAAATGTCACTGTTTGTGTCTTGGTAGGCGGAATACAAGATACACCTCATACGATCCGGGACTATCGATAGGCGGTCAATGCGTTTCTACGGTTACGGAAGATGCACCATTCAAGTTTCTCGGTCGTAAGATTGATAATATAGGTCGTACTCCATCTTTAGAAGGAATAGTAGATAGCTTTTTAAATGATCTTAACAAGGTAGATAGCCAGCAGATCAGTAACGTAAAAAAAGCATGGATCTACGATAATTACTTAACTTCACGTTTGAATTGGCCTTTCCTCGTCTATGATTTTAGTAAAACCCTTTTATCTAAATTAGATGCAGGCGTCATAAAGATGTTGAAGTTGTGGCTCGGGCTCGCGCTAACGGCTGATTCATCGGCTTTATTCAGGGATCGTAATAGTTTTGGGATGAATCTAAAAAGACCATCGGAGCTCTACAAACACCTAAGAGTTTCCAAGAGACATATCCTGGGAAAATCCCATGATGACGTCGTTACATCACTCCCAAAAGACAATGATGCCCCAGAGCTAGAGTCACGACTTCAATTCCATAAACAATTTATGATCGGAGCGCAAAATAACAGAGTAGGGTTAGGATCAAGTAGGAAAGTCCAAGATACGGATATATTGAAGTCTTTTATTCGGCAAGACGAGAACGATAAATACAAGATCCATGCAATGAGTTTAGAAATGCAGAACGAGTGGTTAGACATAGGAGATTTTTGCATTCCACTAGCACTAAAATGGCGCACCCTAATTCATGACTGGTCGCCAGCCTTGCTAAAATTTTATCTCAATGCGTTCCAGATGACTCTCCCAGATCAGAGTAATTTAGTAAGATGGGGTAAAGGTACCGAAAAAACTTGCTATATCTGCGGAAAGGCAGTTGGAACTGCCAAGCATTTGCTGGTGGGATGTAAGGTTCTCCTGGACAGCGGTCAATACTCGCGTCGTCACGATAGGGTTTTAGAGATCATACGTGAAGTGGTTAGTCTTTCGGTAGCCAGAGCGCAAAGGGAAATAACCACAAACGAGCGATCAATAGGTTTTGTGAGAGAGGGCACCAGGGCTATAAAATCAAACGTCAAGCCTTACTCTATCCTTAAAGCGGCTTCGGATTGGACTATCATGATGGATACGTATGAGAAACAATACAAAATCCCCGAGGATATTTGTGCGTCGGCCTCCAGACCAGACATATTTCTATATTCGCGTATTTTAAAGCGCGTTGTGATGATAGAGCTTACGGTGCCTTGGGAAACCAACATCCCCAAAGACCATGCCATCAAGGTCAATAAGTATTACGAGCTCACTAACGAACTAACTCGAAATAGGTTCGTCGTTGATTTGTACGCGGTAGAGGTGGGAGCGAGAGGTATAACAGCTAAATCTCTCTATAACCTACTAAAAGACTTGGGCCTGTCCAGAACTAACATTAATTCATTCTTAGAACGTACGTCGAAGGCAGCCCTAGTAGGTTCTTTTCAAATTTGGTTAGGTAGGGAGAGGAACTTGGACAGTGGAGGTGAGCGTATAACGCGCGTTAGTTAAGGGGCCCCTTAAACCTACACCTGGGTCGCAAGTCCCAGGCACTGTTGAAGCTCCTCTCCCTGCAACGCAATGGACCCGGCACCCGCACGGTGAATCCATTGAATGCTAAGAGGTTTCGTCTCCATTTCGTTCGACTTCGTGAAAGCACAGGTTGTAACATAAACTCGTTTACTTGAGAGAAGTAATCAATTGCATATACTCGTAGCTAGAAAATGAGGCGTTGTGGAGATTCATTTTTTAACTTTTACTTTAATTTTATCCAAATTAATTGATAAAAGTTAACATTCTACAAGTATAAACTTTTACAAAATAAATCTTAACAGTAGCTTTGATAAATCTTTTGTATTTTTTGAGTGTTCACATAATTTTTCTTATATTGGGTGAAAACCTTTTCAATTGTAGAAACAAAACTGCCGTATCGCCTTAGTTGTATTGAGGTGAAGTTGCACAAATAAAAATGCTTGTAAGGAAATGAAAGTCATAAAATGACCGTAACCGGATTCAAAACGGTTAAGAAAAGAACTGGGATCGTTAAAACTTCCTAATACCTTGTTGTACAATGGTATGAAAAAAAAAAAAAAATTGTGCATTGGTTTGACTTCGATAAAAACTACATCATTTATTTCTCACTATTTAAATAATAATATAGATTTGTTTTTATTCTGTTTATAAAAGAAATCCAGCAAAAAATCTCTCTAATCCTATTCTTTTAATCTGAATATTTTCACTTTATTAGAAATAGGAGTACTTAAAAAAGTAACACTTATTACGAGCTCGTAAATTTCTTTCTATTCATGGAGGACATCAAAAATTGATAAAAAAAAGTGATTTTCAAGTTCAAGAATTATGTATATGACGAAGTTAAAAGGGAGAAACAAAACAGTTTTAATTAATATGTGATTCAATTTTAACACTCGACGAAGAAAATACGTTTAAATACAATTTCTAGTCGACGACGAGTATTTAAAAGCAAAACATTAGAGTTATTAACTTTACAATTAATTTCTGTAATATGCTGAATTTTAACTTGTTTTAAATTAACACATAATTTATAACTCTATCTATATATTTAAAAGAGAAAATATAAAGAGGTTCTATATGCAAATAACATTTACAATTCAAAAGAAATTTGCATTTGCTTGATTTTATTCAGTCTTCTTAAAAAGGCAGCGTAAAGAGAAAAGATGAATAACTTTAAAACGATAAGAAAACCAAGAATCATTGTTAATAATGAGATAATAACAGAAGTACCATCACAAAGTATTACTATTTTTTAGACTATTTAATACCTTAAGCAATAAGTATCTTCGTATATTGGAAGCATCTTATTAGCTGTGGTTTCAATTTTTATTTGATGAAACTCATGTTTTCTTTGTACATATTTTACCAGCTAGAACAATGAAGTAATTAATTAGAATTAATTAAGTAATTTTTGGTGCTATGCTATACAAACGTCAATGAGTGTAGTGATTATGAAAAACAATGACAATAATTTAGTTTTGCCATTACAAGTTAATAAATTAAATAGTTTCATAAACATAAATTATAACATGAAGCAAATGAAGATATGAAATTCTTACCATACCCTGTTTTAAATAGAAAACAATTTAAATGACTTCTAATGGTCTACACGTCCTGGCTTCATCTTCGACAAACTAATCTAGAACTCAATTTCGTAAAAGCGTTGTCAGTCTCAATACATTCTATCAAAGATATGTATATAGGTAGTTTAACAGATAAATAATATATTAGAACCAAAGAAAACGGGGAAAGTTATTTCTTCTTCTATATATATAAAAATGGATTGCTGTTCCTTAGTCTCGCTAAAACTCAAGAACGGCTGAACCGATTTGGTTAATTTTAGTGTCTTGAAATACTTCTGGAAGTCCAGGGAAGGTTTAAAAGCTGAGAAAAATTTAAATAATTGCCGGGAAAACCCTAAAAACAGCCCCTTTCTATTTCCCATACAATCGTTTTTTTTGACATTAGATTTGACAACTAACTAATATGTCAATCATTCTGTTTGATTGAAACAGGAAAAACCTGATTATTTATGGCCTCTAAGACGGAATAGAGTTCGCCTATACCTACATATATTACTCTTGACCAAACTAACGCGGACGAAGTCGCGGGCAAAAACTAGTCATTGATAAATAACACTAAATTAAGTAAACAGTATATAAATTATGTTATTGGAAAAGGTATTCTGTCGCATTTTGCCAGTTAAAAAACTGTATTATAGTTCACAGAGCTTTTTACATATTTTTCTATTACTATACAGTATAAAATATGTTATATCCACCTTACGTTTCAAATAAAAATTCTTACCAAAACAAGCTTCTGTAATAAATGCTCAGTTCCAGAGTATAGTTTTTAACCGTATATTTTCGCTAGCGCTTTAGGTTGCATGAAACTAATGATAGATTACAATTGGCTCACACTATATGTATGTATGTATATTTGCCTAAACTACATACTAAACCTTCGGCATTAGTATTCAAAGTCAGGTCGAAAATTCTCTCATGTTTTAGGAACCTTGTATAGTGTTTACGTTTTCAATATATATGTACATGAGTCAAGCTTACTTTCAATTTATTTTAAATAAATATGCGTATATAAAACAGTAGTAAATGAAAACTATACAACAAACTGCATTTGATACTTAACACACCTTGGTTAAAAGTAGTTGTTTGTTTTTTGCTGGAGACCTAACATGAGACGAAACTTCTCAGCACTCCCTGGATTCACCGTGCGAGTGCCGGGTCCATCGCGTTGCAGGGAGAGCAGCTTCAAGGAGCTTATGTTTTAATGTCCATCCCATAGAAAAAATCTTAATTCTTAGTTAATTCTAGTTTTCTTATACTTAACTTACTATTACTGACTATATAAATCTCAAGGTAAAAATATAAAATGCTTTTGTGCTGTTCTGGTAGTACTAGCATACATTAAATATAGTTTATTACACTATAAAAAGCACCTTACAGGTAGTAGGAGTAGAAATATGTTAAGGTAGCATAATGATACTATAGTATACTGCCAAAGACTATATACCAACAGAAATATGTTAAACTGCTTAAGGTTATAATAATAAAGACTAATCTTGCTAATACATGAAAAAGTTAATGCATATTTACGTAAAAAGCATTTTATACAAACAGTAGCATTCATATAATACTTTGAAACAACGCAAAACGATTCCGTTATCTCTGTTTCGAAGCTATTGAGCCTTTATTGATTCTTATTTACCCCATTTTTACAATCAAATGTTGTGTATATAACTATTGATATTATATTCGAGGGAAATTTAACCGAGGTAGGTTCTGTCATAAAAATTATTTAGATTTTAGAACTCAAATTCCTTTATTTACGAGTTATAAAATGTTGGTAAATCAAAAGGATTGATGAATATCGCATCAGCGAAAAACGTTGCTAAGTATTATGGAAGATCGTAAATAATTTATTTGGGTACAGTTACACCTAAAATTTATATCCACGTTAAATTGAACTGATATCGAGAATGATGTAATTTTTTTTTATACTAAATTTTGAAACAATTATGTTTAATAATAAATATGTTCAAATTACATAAGCATCGTCTTAAAGGATTTTATATCATTAATTTATATATATCTTTATATAATAATCCTTCATTTAAGAATAATATTTTTATATGTATAGAAGTTTTAAATTATAGCAGCATTGAGCCCGATATAATATGTTACTGAAAGAATTCAGGTGATGTAAAATACTTATACATACAATCAAAGAGGTAAATAAATATAGCATATAACTAACACAATACATAACACCAATACTAACTTTCTATTGTACTTATATTAAATGACTACCTTTGAGTATAAAACGGGATCGAAGGTAGTAATAATTAATACCGACCGTAACAAGAACTGCCCTAATTTATAGCAGTTACTTGAAGCAGAGCTCGTAAACGAGGTACAACCGGCAATCTGTTGAGAGGCTAATGTTACCGCAATGAAAATTTATACTGATTTATTGGGGTATTGAATTTCCTTATTATAGACACGAGATCAAATTTTTTGTCTATAGATATTATATTTTATTGACAGTTATAGAAACTAAGCTCTTGTAAAAATATATAAAATAAAATGTTTACAATCTTGTTTATTCACAAATACCTCTTTACATAGTTCAGTATAATATCGGCACGTGACATTGGTGAAATGTATAAGGAAACGTCACTAACTAAAGAAGAAGAAGAAAAAGAAAAAAATGTTTATAACCTCAAGTGAAACAACACCTTAAAATGGTTAAACTTAAATTTTGTGATGTTCTTTAAATTTGCTAGTTTTGAAAACAAATTTAAAATCTAGCAATATATAAACGTTACATAAGTGACATATTTTGACAGCTACAGAACTAAATAAATTACAAGGTTATAGAGGGACAAAAAAGACGTTATAGAGTAAATGTATAAAAATATCCTGGCGAAGTAAAATATACTTTTATCTTCAATTTGTTTTCATTTCCCAAACGCCATCACTTTTCATTGACGGAAATATCTTAGCTGACATCACAACAAAAGACCGATCAGTTATGAATGGCGTCTGTTGGGTGATTGTTAAAATATTCTAGTGGCTGTAATATATATTACATTATATTATATTTGAAAGGAAATATTTTAATACTTCTATAAACATCAAACAAAATTTTATTAACTTATTTACTAGAAATCGATTTATACTAGTATCTAGGTCTAAAAAAATCCTTCCAATATTGTAAAATACAGTAGTAAATTTGAAAATTTTGATTTTAAGTATTACATTTATATAATGAAGAACACTATACGTTTTTCTTAAGAATAATTTAAAAATATAGCTACTGGGAGAGAGTACAATTACGTAATAAATTTTGATTGTTTAAAATACTTATATAATATTTCATTGACCCTAAGTAAAACAGTTTAAATAATATTCATATACTAAGTAGATGTCATAATTAATTTAGTAAAAAACTTAAAATTT